TTGTGCAAGTCTCAGTATGTGAGTTTGGGTGTTATTGCTTTACGCCGTCTGTCCAACTCCCACACATGTCTGCCTGTTAATGTGTGTTTTCCATGTACCATGACCGCAGTTGTGCGTGTTGATGGGGCATCATAACCGGGCCGGATCAGATGCTTTATCCTAGCACCTCAGGCTTTTGTTCATAGTCCTTTTTTGTCTATCGACAAAAAGACGCAAGAGAAGAAGAGGAACGTCAAGACGCATGGGGCAGTCTGAATTGGCAAGACCTTGGGTCTCTAGATGAAGGTCAATGATTAGCAGATGCCTCCGGTCAGCCAGTCTGTTTCCTGTTCTTCGATCTTCTCGTCTGCATGTTTGCCTGTGTCTGTCGCTTTTTGCCCTGTTCATGTTTGCCCTTAAACTTGGATCACAGCCTCTTTGGGAGGTAGTTGGTCGGTGCGTCTCAATATCTTCTCTCCTCCTCCGCTTCCAGCCTATGCTTTTTGTAGTCTCCTCCTTTTTCTCGTATATTCCTGCTTTTTCCGTTTCTCTCGCTGGCGTAAGAAGACGGCAATTTTGGGTCAAATGATGCAACCGAATGTGCTGCCGGCCTCAGACGGGGCGCATCTTCAAGAGGAAATCTGAATCCTCCTCTCGTGTGTGGCTAATTACATCGAATCGTCATAATTCCCGGTCCATTTAAGTCGGCCTGTACAGAGGTGTAGGCAGACAATTAGTATGCATTCACACTTGAAGACGGCAGCTACCACTTGCAGGACCACACACAAGTACACACTGGCGACTGCCCACGTGTGTATCCAGGCCTCACCCACTCGCAGAAACGATGCAAAACTGGCACCATCTGAGGCGGTATTGCTCTGCCAGTCTGTCCATGCCCACGAAGGCGGTCGTCTGGGGACAGGGCGCGTGGAAACCGCTCCGACCCACAGTCTGTGAGGCTGCCTCGCAGAGCCGGCTGGGTGATGGGCCGAAGCGAAGTGCCACAAGCGGGATAACTGGCTCGGGAGGACAACACGATTGCCCAACCAGCGATTGTCTCGGTCGTCCAATTTGCAGCCAGCATCGGCAGCAGCATTGGCAACAGCCTTAGCAACTCTTGGCCAAAAAGCGGCCTTCTGGCCTGATCTGTAGACCTTGAACCGGCCTGGCTGCCAGCACAGACATACAGACACAAACACATGAGGAATATCGAGCGCTGATGTCTATTCATGCCTATGCATACTATTCTTATATGGCACACAAACACACCCATATACACTCACACATTAGCACACAAACATATATATATATATATATATATACATATATATATATAT